GTAAACAAGTTGTTACTAAATGTTTGATGATGGTGTAGGACCGCGGTTAGAATTGCTTGCGTGGAAGTTAGTTTACTTTCATTTGCTTTGTGTCGTAAGCAAAAGCTTGAGGATGCATGTCAGCCGTTGGCAGACTGCATTGTGTTAGTGGCACTTAGTCTAAGCGTGCCCGACCAGATTTGCCGTGAACGCACAGACAGTATGGTGCCAGCATGGTACCCCGCGTAGTTCTTCCGTGCCAGAGAAAGCCGAGCATTTCGAGTTCCTGTTAACTCAGGCAAAAGTCATAGCTTTGCCGCAAAGGCGAAGCAATGAGCACGATAGCAACAATTTGAAAGGTCACGCACAGAAGGAAAAGCAGATCTAAACGTGTCCCGCGTTTCTCGCCCACAAATTACGCACAAAACGTACTTACAGGTACGGATGCACGTGAAGAAGCGTCTCATTGGTTACTTCGGCGAGTCTAAAAAGCGCGGGCTTTTCACGAACGGAGACTGCAATGGTTGCAGTAACCTTTGTGTGCCCGGAAACTACAGCAGAACCATTCTACGTAAATACCGAGGCCAGTCAAGGCGTATGGTCCTCTCCTCTTTACCACCGCGAGATAAGGGCGCACCGCTCCCCTTTTCTAATCCTGACGAAGTACGCGCAAGTGATTAGAGCAGTCTCTGCGTCGCGATGTGGTGACGTGTGCTCATTGCGCCATTTTTCTGGTAATACCGAAAACACAGCAGCGAAAAACAAATAGCTTGCCGTTTGTACGGTAAAGAACGTTTTTCGGGGTCGGCTCCGTGGTTAATGCCTCACTTTCACGAGGCAAAGGTCTCACCTTCGATTCCGCGCGCTGGAGTGCTTTGTTTTCTGGTTTTTTTCCCTTTCTTGCGTTTTCATAAATATAGATACGTATACATATGCGGTGCATGACGTCAACGCCTACGTCGACGCCGACGGCAGCAGCGAAATCCATGCGAGAGTGTCCATATAATTGAATAAAAAAACTGACCCCCACGTGAGAAACATGGATTAGAAACGGCATTGTGATGACGCCCTCATTTCCTCACCGCACTGGCAGTCGGCGGGGCCTCCTCCGAGAGCCAAAGCAGCGCAGTGACTCCTCACTTCCGTTCAGGTGAAGCCCAGCCGCCTGCAGTGTTCACGCACGCCGTTTCGAGGCAGCGCACGTTGCGAAAACTCGGGGATCACCGACAACCCTTTGTCTCAGTCCGGCTTAGCTCCGGTAGCTGTCGGAAGCGGGTGGACTGGCGACACGTGAGAGCGTGGCTGGTGTCGCGATATCGGGCGCCGACAATTCATTCGGTGCGCGTTGTTGCATTGACATGTTTTGAACTGCTCCCACTTAATTCCTGCAAATTGGCTCGTAAATGGAGCCACGGGTGGTCAGCGAGTGGTTCCTCTTACAGCGGGCAGGAGACGGGCCGATTTTCGCCCCGTCGTCAAGAAGTTGACGTGTTACAAGGAAGCCGTTTTATGGCCACGAAAGCCCAGTATGTGTAGCTTTAAATCTAGATAATTGTGTGCCGCGTAGCTTGCCCAAGCATCTATCACTTTTTCTAGTTCTTTTTATTTACATATTGGTTGTTGTGTTATTTGGGGCGAGGGTATGAGTTCTCGCACATGCACAAAGGTTGCGTCCTTTGTGCGCCCGGAAACTACAGCAGAATCATTTCACGTAAAGCCCGAGGCCAGCCAAGGCATATGATCCTCTCCTCCTCGCCACTGCGAGATAAGGGCGTGCCGCTCCCCTTCTCTAATCCTGACAAAGTACGCTCAAGTGATTAGGGCGGTCTCTGCGGCGCGATGTGGCGACGTGCGCTCATTGCGCTATCTGTCTGGTAATGCCGAAAACACAGCAGCGGTAAGCGGTAGATATAATTAGCTTGTAGGGACCACCAGGTGGCACCGTTTTGTTTGGCTGGGCGCATACAGTGCTCCGCTTTCACGTGTTCTTGGCCCGTTACCGGGCCCCGCCCGTGTCTCGACAAGCTCACTATTCCTTCTAGAAGACTTCCGGGACACGCCGACACAATCCTGGCCCCAGTCCGACCCCAGGCTGGCCCTCCAGGCCCCTTCCAAAGTACGAAGCGGCGCGGCGCCGCGCTAATCCTAACGCGCCGCGCCTGCACCTCCACGATGCAGCGTCCCGCCCAGCACTCGACACCAACGACAACTGATGCCCTGTCGGTAAGCCCAGCCTCCTGCAGTCATACCGCTGATACAGCCGTGCCTCCGATGTCAACATCTGGCAATGTCACCAGCCCCGCGCTGACAACAATACAGCAACAGGCAGCGTTCATCAACAGCGCGCACGATCCAGCAACGTGCAACGTTGGGGGCGTCTCTGCTACTCTCAGCTTGATAAACACGCAAACGCCGGAGCCCGAGAGCCGTAATGCAGCGTTGGCGTTGCAACCAAACACGCCTGCTGCTATCCCCACCTTATCTGCGTCTGGCCTACCCATTGGAAATTCTGAGTCTGTCGACAAGCGCGTTTCGACGAGCATCGTTGTTTCCATCGCCGAAGTTTTGCCTTCCATCACTTCAGCTGACGACTTATCGACGGAAATGAACTTCACGGCGCCGCAGGTCAGCGAAGACAATACGCCATCCCCTGAAGGCAGCTGGAACAACGTTAGTGCCAATCGAAAACCTGCCTAGACCACCCGCCCCCGCTCCGAGCTCATCACCGTCGGAATCTAACTTCCACCCGGAACACTCACGCCGAAACTGCCTCTCTATGACCTGCTTTCTACCTTCATAGCCGCCGCAAATCTCTCTCCCAAGACCATGCAGAGGTCACCCTTCAGGCCAAACCTGCTCAGAGCCTTGTGTTTCTAAAAATGCACTCACCTCTCACTGCCCACCTTCTACTCTACCTCACAAGTCTGGAACCTAATGGTAAGCCGATCACCATTAAGCCCTATGCCCCCAGTCCTCCAATATCATGTCTCGGCGTCATACACAACGTCGTTGTTCACTTCACATCATCTCAGCTCTTGCATGACCTAACGCCTACGTCGACGCCGACGGCAGCAGCGAAATCCATGCGAGAGTGTCCATATAATTGAATAAAAAAAACTGACCCCCACGTGAGAAACATGGATTAGAAACGGCATTGTGATGACGCCCTCATTTCCTCACCGCACTGGCAGTCGGCGGGGCCTCTTCCGCGAGCCAGAGCAGCACGGTGACTGCTCACTTCGGTTCAGCTGAGCCCAGCCGCATGCAGTGTTCACGCACGCCGTTTCGAGGCAGCGCACGTTGCGAAAACACGGAGATCACCGACAACCCTTTGTCTCAGTCCGGCTTAGCTCCGGTAGCTGTCGGAACGGGTGGACTGGCGACACGTGAGAGCGTGGCTGGTGTCGCGATATCGGGCGCCCGACAATTCATTCGGTGCGCGTTGTTGCATTGACATGTTTTGAACTGCTCCCACTTAATTCCTGCAAATTGGCTCGTAAATGGAGCCACGGGTGGTCAGCGAGTGGTTCCTCTTACAGCGGGCAGGAGACGGGCCGATTTTCGCCCCGTCGTCAAGAAGTTGACGTGTTACAAGGAAGCCGTTTTATGGCCACGAAAGCCCAGTATGTGTAGCTTTAAATCTAGATAATTGTGTGCCGCGTAGCTTGCCCAAGCATCTATCACTTTTTCTAGTTCTTTTTTATTTACATATTGGTTGTTGTGTTATTTGGGGCGAGGGTATGAGTTCTCGCACATGCACAAAGGTTGCGTCCTCAGGGCGGGTTTTTAATCTACCAAGTGTACTGTCTTATTAGCGGACAAGTAGGCGACGATTCGCCGAAAGTTGTGTAAAGGCGGAGCAACAAGTGTTCTGAACTGGGCTTGCGATGCTAGGCACCATCGGCTCTGCCGAATTCCGTGGGGTCGCCCTGTAGAAGTCGGTTCGTTTCCAAGGTGTTTTCTTTTTCTCTCTCTTTGATGTCCGTACTTATGTAACTTTTGAACAGTCTGTAAATGCAAGTTTTTCCCATCCTAACAGAACTTCTATTGCGTTTCTGCTTCATCTTCAAGCGACCAATAGGTAAATAACTAATGTTTTAATAGCGGCAGCATTTTTCGTCTCTCTCTTTTTGTTATACCACCTAGGTGGTGCGTCTCGGGCGCCGAGTGATGAGAGTTGGTTTCTACAACACGGAAAAAACTTTGATTTCACTCGGGGAATAGTTCAACTTTTTCCTCATATTTTCTTGCTGATACCCTTCTGCTAAGCAAAAAAAAACCTGTGAAGTCTTGTTAGAGACCGGTATAAAACACTTTCATATATTATTTAAAAAGGGATAATAGTTGGCTGATTGATGGGGCTTCGTTGTTACAATTTCTGTTGACTAAATGAAAGTGATCTCCTGGAAAACATGTATCATGTACATCAGCAATCGCGTATCTGCTGAAAATCGCGGCTTCGCGCAAACATAATTCATAAACCGCGTAAAGTTAATTGCCTGATGAACCATCTCATTTTCTTAATTTGGGCGGTGGAGGATCGCGATTGGCTGATGAACGGTGGAAAAGAAAGATGAAAAGAGACTCCACGCTTAGGTTTTACGAGACGTTATTATCTTTAACGAAATTTCGAGGGCGCCGATCTCCAAGTTAGATCCTAATATTGAAGTTGTGTAAAGCACGGAGCTAATGGATAACGTGTGTCATTTCAGTCACCTTTCCCTTATGTGTCATGCAGTGAATTATTACAGCATCAACTACTGACAGTTGAATCAATATGATAGCAGAGCTTTGCCTCGCACTGAAGACACAAAAGCCTCGAATAAAGTAGGCTTGTGCAAATCGTTTGCACCATAGACTCTTCACAGCTACAATATTTATCTTTTACACTATCAGTTTTCACAAGTGTAGTATGACAATATGTATCTATGTCTTGTAATTGTAACTGTCTTTATGTAAGAAAAAAAATGCTTTTAAATTGTTATGTGTGTGAGCTACTATCTAATCAGACTTATTCGCAGAACGACGCTTATGCCAAACATCTTAAGCCCGGTATTCTTGACATGGATAAATCATTGGATGGCTTGTATGACTATTACGTAAAAGGCAATATACCTGGGAAACCTGACGTAGTGCACCTCGTTACAGGGTAAGATAGCCGATTGTTCGAGTTCATTATCCCTCTGAATGATTCGCTTTTTCGTGATGCTAATTATAAAGAGGATCGAGTCCTAGTCACGGTGGCTGCACTTATGTTTAATTTGATTTTAAAAGCACCAGGTCGTGAAAATAAATGCCGAGTTCATCCCAATGGCGGCGATGACAAACAGATATTGTGTTCAGATATTATATTTACCAGCTATTTCGTATGCCAATGAGGGAGGTGGAGGTGAGATTACCAATTACACAAGATTTGGGTGTCAATAATATTCTCCCTAATGTGAAAAAAATATCAATCTCAACATTCCTGGTAATGCTTAGGTTTTTTCTTATGCAGCCAAGACATGGCCCGCTTTGAAAATGGTGCCCTGGATAGAGATTATACCGGTGAGATGGCTTGTGTTTTGTAAATTTTGTAAATATAACACGGCTCTAATATTTGAGTAATACACTTTGGCTTAAACGCATGCGCGAGAATTGACTTACAGAATTAGTGAGCTTTGCTTTGTAGAACATATTTAAATGTTAATTTGTTGTTAATGTACTCTGTTAAATAATCGTTAAAATAACAACATTTATTAACTTACTGAAATTAACTCACACTTGGTCAAAGGGTAAGAATAAATTCTAGCACGAGGATAAATTGCTAGCCTCAAACCAGTATTTCGCCAGTATTTTGGTAAAATCACTTTCATTATACCATGACTTAATACTGCGTGTACACATCTAGATCATGGTTGAATACAGTTACTACTTGGTAAAATTGGCATGGTGTCACTAGAACTAAGAAAACAGCAACAGATAGCTTTAATATAGCAGAGGAAGCCAACTGCTATTTCTTCCAGATCACCTGAAGTAGCTCTTCAAAATTTTAAATCTCCTTGGTTAGACTCTGTTTGGTGGTGTAAAGCGTCATACATATATTTTAGTGCGTGTAGACACATAGCTGAGGTTACTAATTTACTTTCTGAAAAGACCATAAATAATTCACTGCACAAATTACCAAGTATTGAAGCGTTTTTGCTATATTAAAAATATGGTATTTAGACCATAGTGCTATTGAATTTGTTACTATTCAATCAAACCTGCGGAGAATCGTTCATCGATATGCTACCGATAAACATGCGAAATAAAGCTGGCTCGTTTTATCTGAATAGGAGAGCCTAACGTGAAAATTTACTTTTTTACCTTTCAATCAGGACTTGCCTTTGGAGGCCCTCCCTGTACGAAGAGGGCCGTTTCCTTAAGCGAAGATATTGCCTCGTCATACAAAGGCGTTTTTATAATGGCTCACGAACTGGGGCATGTGTAAGTAAGCGTGTTTGAGGTGTTTAAAAAACAAAGGCTGCTTAACAAATATGACTATTTATTACACCCTAAAGAATGGGATCACCTCACGATGAAACCGAACAATGTCCCTGGTCCGAAGGATATCTTATGAGCTATGTAGACGGAGGAGTGAAAAATATCAGCTTTCTCGGTGCAGTGAAAGAAGGATTCGAGACAACCTAAAGTAACATTTCCTATGCATTTCTTTTACCCTTTAAATATTATTTCGAGCAGTGGCCTGATCAACACTTCGAGGACCCAAAGATTTCACGATTGCCATTGCAAGTGGATCAGCGTCCTTCGATGAGTGATTCCGTTCTCGCAGATTCATGCCTCGCAGATGCGTGGGAATAGTGTCGCAATCAACCTACATGTACCATTATAAAATTTCCGGGCCAGAAAGTAAGCAAGAAGCATTACTGAAGAAGCTTTTGAGGAAATACACCACTTCGAACGATATATTTTACGAGAAGGTGAGCACATATCAATGTTTTAGTTGTTAGATGTTCTGCGGCATTTTCAAATTACGACTCTAGCTAGGTGATGAAAAAGGAGGTTTATGCTACGTCATGCAAGCGTTTACATGCCTTCCACGACGTCATCGCCGAGGCACAAAAGTGAAATACGCAAAATGAAACGCCTTGTTCTTGCTTGGTTACAGAGTCGTTCACTCGCGACGTAACAATCGTGAAGAGGGTGGACAGTCGACATTGAACCGTCGTCATCAACTGTCCGGGACCAATACTTTGCGGCCGTGACACTGTGTACCCGTAGCTTCAATGACGGTACTGACTGAAAATGGTGTGGCGTGTGTTCAAGCGAAAAATGTGGACAGAATGCTTGAAACTATGCTAGGAAAGTACAGTGATGTGTTGGCATTTAGTTCTACTCCGAGGCCCACCAGTACATCTGAGCGTCAAAGAAGGCGCAAGATCCCGGTTTTGTAAGGCTCGGACGGTGCCGTATGCGCTCAAACAAACGGTGTCGGCAGAGTTAGATCAGCTGGTAAACGAAGGGGTGTTATTACCGGCGTAAACTGCCGAATGGGCCACACCCGTTGTGCCCTCAGTCATTAAAGATAGACAGGTGCGATTATGCCGTGACTTCCGTCTTATGGTGAACGCAACTGTCGTTATGGAGCAATATCCATGGCCGCGAGTTGACGATATCTTTGCGAATTTCAACGGCGCAGAGGTTTTCAACGCATTGGACTTGCGGAACGCCTGTAATTAGTTGCCTCTTAACGAGGACTCGAAGAGGTTAGTCGTTTCGAACACTCACACAGGTCTGCGCTGTTTCAACAGGCTGCTGTTCGGAGTGTCATCAGCGCCGGCAATTTTCCAGCGGCGCATGGGGGCCGTGCTCAGCAAGGTTCTCGGCTTGCAGGAATATCTGTACGGCTTAATTGTATCGGAAAAGGCAAACAACTGCGGGATCTTGAAGCTAGTGCTACAGCGCCTTAGGGAACATGGCCTGCGCCTACGACGGGGGAAATGCAAGTTCAGGCAAGAGCAAGTCACCCTTCTCGGACACTGCATTATCAGATACGGCCTAGGCCCCAAGAATGACAACATCACGGCACTGTTTGACGCCCCCTAGTCAACTTCGGTAACAGGACTAAAAGCAGTTTTAGGTCTGTTAAATTACTACGGCAAGTTATTGCAAATGTGTCGACTTTACTAGCGCCCTTTATATGTATTTGTTGCCAAGGCGTAAATTTGCCTGGGGCAGACAAACGGCAAAACGCTTTCGAATCAGCCCAAACAGACAGTGAAGATTGCATAAATGTTTGGCGCATTTTCACCTACGCAAGCCCATTCCGCCCAGAGTGCGACGCGTCAGCAGTAAGTCTGGGCGCAGTGTTTTCGGATCGACTCGGACGAATTGACTACCCTATCGGATTCAGGTAACGAACACTCACAAAAGCCAAGAAAAACTATTTCCAATTAGAAAAAGAGGTCCTCGCCCTCTTATTTTGCGTAATTAGATTCAAAGACTACCTGTATGGGACTCACTTCGATTTGGTAACCGACCACAAACCGTTGATCACACAGTTCAGCCTGCCCCGCCGCGGTGGTCTAGTGGCTAAAGTACTCGGCTGCTCACCCGCAGGTCGCGGGATTGAATCCCGGCTGCGGCGGATGCATTTCTGATGGAGGCGGAAACGTTGTAGGCCCGTGTGCTCAGATTTTGGTGCATATATCGGCACAGCCTAACCAAGTTGGGTTCACGTTTTCATAATTACAAAAGTGAACGCAGATGCCTTCAGCCGACTCGCTATTTCTCGGATGCAGCCCGATAACAAAAAAGACGACGCTTCCGAGTTTAAATTATGTGCTGAGACTGTGAATGCGGCCCCCAATGGTTCCAAAGAGTTGTTGGTTCAAACCATGCATGATGCTATGTTACAGCAGGTGCAAAAATGAATCCCGCAGGGCAGGCCTCAGTATTTGACAGAGACCGCTGAGCGATTACCTCCATTCTTCCAAAAAAATTCCACCATATCCACGAAGTGAATGATGATGAGTGGGCGAAGCTCCGGAGGTAAACCTGGTAACCATGAATCCTCTGTACATTTTGCCCACTCGATTTTATTACATCGCTCCCCCTAGCGTACGTCGCCGCACTAAATCGAACGATTGCCTTCAACCAATGACACGCGCCATATGTGACATCATTCCTATTTTATAAGATCTCGCGTCTTTCATCAACTACAAGTACCGCTTTCTAGTTTATAACATCTTGCATCTTTTCATCATCAGCTACAAGTACCACCATCTAGTAACACTACAAGAACTAAACAAGAGGTGGCTACATACAGGAGACGGTACCGCCATCTAGTGAACACTGCAAGAACTAAACTAGAGGTGGCTACATACAGGGGACGGTACCGCCATCTAGTGAACACTGCAAGAACTAAACTAGAGGTGGCTACATACAGGCTACAGGGGACGCACAGCCCACGCCCTAAGGAGCTTCGCCCCTAAAAAAAGTATGAGCTGACTGTGATTCAGAACCTCATTATTGTGGGCGTAGAATAGTCGTGCCATCAGCGGCTGCTGGAAGTCTTTTGAGGCTCCTACACGAAACACATCCAGAAATGGCGGCAATGAAAAACCTTGCGCGAACCACTTTTTGGTAATCAGAGCTGGATGCAGACATCGAAAGAATGGTACGCGAATGCGCGATGTTCCGGCACCATGGCCTCGGGTGCAAGTGGTCTCGGTTCCACATTGACTACGCAAGCCCCGTCAAAGGGCACTTGCTACTGGTGGTCGTGGATGCTGTAACTAAGTGGTTGGACGCCATATCGTGGCGCAGTACGACGTCAGAAACCACCGTGGAAGCGTAAAGGTTCATACTTGCAAGGTTCAGCCTGCCACATACGCTGGTTCAGATAATAGGCTACCGTTTGTCTCAGCCGAGTTTGAGAAGTCCGTAGAGTGAATGGGTTGAACCACGTGACGATGGCTCTTTACCACCCGGAGTCAAATGGCCTGGCAGAACGCGTGGTTTGCACGATCAAGGAAGGCCTTCGAAAAGCTCAAGGGGTTGGCACGTCGCAGTCACTTTTTGTGTCACTTCCGATGGCAACCGGTAAAGGCTAGAAAGACTCCGTTCAAAATACTGCAAGGTTACAAGCTATGGACCAGGATAGATTGTCGCCTTTCGAGTGCAGGTGGTGATCCGCCATTTGAAGAACGCCCTTCTATGATGTTGTTGTGGGCAGGACAGCCGGTGTGGCTGAGAAGTTTCCACCGCCGGCCGGGATGGTTGCTTGGAGTGGTAACCACCACCTAAGGGGCTCGGATCGGAAGTGTCTACACCGGAGCAACGTCGTCATGCGGACCACCCGCAAGGACTCGAATACGCCGCAGCCGGGGTGTGCCACAACATCCACCACCACACCGCACTCGAAACCTCGTCCATGCCAGCCAGAATCGCTGAGCCCGCGCTGGCGGAGTCGCCGCCCTCTAGCCAACCTGACGCACCGTTACCGCACCGCCGGTCCAACAGGCTACGACAGCCACCTCAAAGGTTCAACTGGTAAAAGGGGAGATGTGCTACGTCGTGCAAGCGTGTTACCAATCATGTCAGGACGTCATCGCCCAGCACTTAAAAAGCGAGGCGTGCAAAATAAAAAAAAACATGATCTTGTTTGGTTTTTGAGCCGTTCACTCGCGACATGATAGCTTATAAGATCATAGCTTTTAGCTAGGTTGCTTTGCAGGTGTGTTCACTTTTTTTCTTGGCATAGTAAGTGGTGTCGATAAATGAAAATGGTAGGGCATGGAACCATATTATTGAAATACGAAAATTAACTCAGGACAACACACAAGGATATATTGTTAAAATATACAAAGTTGAAACACAAAATGTGCTAAGTATGCATCAAGGGTTAAGATGTCACTGAATGGCTAAAAAACATTAAGAGACGAAGGAAGAAGACAGCATGGAGGGACAAGAGATGACACTACTTACAACAATGCAAACCCACCCGTAGGCGTCGCTTCCATTGGTAGCAAATGCAACCATATCACTTGAAGTGAAAAAAACAAGTAAATACAAAGGATTTACACCATATTTCGCTAAAAGAAACCTTCTGTATATCCGAAGCAGCAGGCGTTAACGCTTACATAGGCTAAGGCGTTTACGCTGCTCTGATGGTGACGTTGGGCAGGAGACAAAGCTGGAAAGGCTCAAAGCACGCAGTTATGGACCAATGTTTCCTATACGGACGTGCCAATCACTGCTAATTGGCAATGCGAGACAGACGACTTCAATTTGACACAGAGACTCGAAGTCAACTTTCAGTTAACACGAACTCTGAAATTTTTTGTTCAACTACGCACAGAAGAAATCGTTCACTGGCACTACTTTGGAGGTCAAAATTCATTGCCTTTGTATACGAGGTGACCAGTCAGTGGTGGTGCAGCGCGCACATTAAGTTTTTCAATCGAAATGCGTGTCTTAGTCGGGCAATGTGAGACATCCGGTGCTGTTCACGTGCCGGCAGGTGTTGTCTCTTCGATCCCGCTTCGTCTCCCGTAGAAATAGATGCGGGCGCGCACACTTATTGTCAACCCGAGCAAACGCAGAATATGGTGCGATAGCATAGGAGAGGGTAGATGCAGTGCTGCGCTGCTCCATCTATCACCACTCACTCTATTTTATCCCTGCGCACTACTCTCCCGTCCACTCGCGCCTCACTCTCGACCGTTCGCTGGCTGGACACCTCTCAAAAACATCCGAAAATGTGTTCTCGAGACAACCCTGTGAAACGCCGACGCCAAGTCGAGATCGCTGGCGCTCTACTGTCGCGTTCGCTCACTCTCACTTTCAGCCGTTCGCTGGCTGGTCGTCTTTCAAGTCGATGTCAGAAGTCGGTGAAGGGAAATTTCTGACAAAAACAGTACCCACTCATGGCGCAAGAAATGCACTCGCATTTCCTCACAATTCCCTTCGGGGAGATGGGCACATTTTTTTTTTCAATCAAGAAACTGGGTGGCTAACGCTGCCTGCATTTCGAGGCGAGAGAGGAAGCGTAGGAGATGAGAAAGAGGAGAGAATGCGCATGCGTGATGGGTCTGTAAACACTTCTGGAAGAGAAGCCTGGAGGAGAGCGAGAAAAAGAGGTGTGAGCAGATGCATTCGTCGTTGTTGCAACGCAATAGAAGAAGTAGTGCAAGAGATGAGATAGGTGAGAAGAGGAGCGCATGTACAATAGGGGTGTAAACATAGAGTTTCTTAAAATTAAAAAGGGGGACTCTGGCGCTGCGACCGTTAGCGACTATGGGAATGATTGGTAGTACAAAGACTTGCCTAGTCTTCGTACTCTCGGGTGACAAGTCGTACTTGCAGCTTCGTTTATTGATGGTTTTGGTTTCGTTTGGAGGAGAGAACAAACTCTTTTGAATTTAGTGACCCGATTCAATATTCTAAGCCTAAAAGAATAAGGTTGTGAAGCGCAACCGCTGAATGTTTGCTCATTGTTGTTTTGTGAGAGAACAGCTCCAAGCCATACGAACACACACGAAGCCAGAAGAGGGCCAGAAGTACAAAGATTAGACAAACCTGTGTACTACTCATCATTCCCATACTCGCTGGAGTTCCCTCTAGTGTAAATTAGGAAACTCTATGGGTGTAGACGCCGCTTGAAGGAATACGTATATGAGAAAGAGGGGGGAGCGAGAAGACGCTGTGCCTGCGTCAGCGTTGCGACGCAAGAGAGGGGGAGCTAGGAAGCGAGATAGAAGGGAGGGTTGCACATGCGCTGTCACGCCACACACCACACATTTCGCATCTAAAACATGAGCACAAAGGCGTGCACAACTGTGGGGCGACTCATGTTGAGCAAAGGCGCCTAGGGGTCCCGATTGTTCTTTCGAACATTACAATTTCCCATTGAGGTCGGATTTGCTTTTTGCTAGCCACTTTAGGTGTTGGTGCAGATAACTTTCGTGGGTGGACGACGATGGCGTCCATGGTGTTTTTTTTAAATTGTGGACCTCCGAGAAACGTCTCAGCATCACTTCTGTGCCAATACAGTGTGCATTGAGTTTTACTTGCTTTTGATGAACTGGAAGAGCAAATTAACGCCCTCTTTTCGGGAATGCACTTGTTACCCTTTGTTTTTGTTTCACATATGCCGGTAAACAGAATGTCTTGTCCTGAAATGAAGTAGTTACGGATCGGATGTTCGGTCTTGGCAGAGCACAAGAGTGCGCGAGTCGCGAGCGTTCCGTCGGAATTCTATCCGCAGGAAACATCAAAACACTAGCGGCAGCAACCAGTCACTATGCTAAGCCGTGGCGCACAGCCACTTTGAACAAGGTAAAAGGGAAGTTTATAGGGTGCGTTTTCAGTAAACGCACCTAATGGCCAGAAAACGGCAAACACTCGGAGAAACCACTTTAAATGGAAAAGCGACTATCTCTTCCCAACGCGTTTCACTTTGAAAACCAAAGTTTCAGGGCAGAAAAGTAGTGCCATCAACACTACACAACGTCGTAGAAGGCCCTGTAAATGCAACTGCGCCTCTTACGACTGACAGGTCTTTCTGAACAACTGTAACCAGAACGCGCTTTTTGTGTTTTTATCTCATCAGAGTGCATGTGGCTCTTTCCGATCCTCCTTATGCTCTCCCTTTTTTTCTGCATTAACTCATTTAACTACGTGAGCTACATAAAGCTATGGCCGGACAATGTCGCAAATTACTTAGAGCACAAAATTCGAGCCGTCCTGCAGAGCCACGACGAGTTAAGCGTCAAAATATATTTCCACGCAGTTTTCCTTGAGTCTATTTCTGGAGGCGCCATACCTCAGAATATGTTCGTTCATAGGCAACGTTGGCGTCTTTTTTCTCGATTGGTTAGTAGGCCAGGTGAGGACTAGTGACGCGCACTTTTAAGGTGAGATTTTATGCCAGTATGGAGAAGACTGCTCTACTCAGCAGAATGACGTCGTTCTTTAAAAAAAAAACAAAATTTTATTGTACCGTGATATTAAGTGGGGGCAGTCTGGACATCGGTGTATGTTCAATCACTTGCATTTCATAGTCTCCGAACTCCGCCTTTGTGTATAATAGCCACAGGACTTATAGTAACCGCAGATATCAGTGACGGCTGATTACCTCACGTCTTTAGTGCCCGACAAGACGTTGCACGCATGCTGCACCAGTGTTTTGTGGTCTTCGTTTTCAGATTACAACGTACACGGCCATTTATTCGTTTCAGGTAGTATACAGCCATCTCTGTTTAAAACTAAAATGTCAGAACTTCACTGAAAACGATTCTGCCCTACCCGTACAGGAGAAAGAGGTCAAACCCTCGGCGAGTCATCAAAATGACCCCTCCACCTTTTTTTTTTTGCTCAAGCCCTTTGCTACCAATATATAAGCATTTTGTATTCAACACATCGCTGCAACAACATTTCGATTTTTAAGGATTAGAGCCTAATCGTGAGCGTTCGGCAGGTATACAGAGGGGTGGTAGCGCGCCTGAGTGTAGAGGAGCGAGCCAATTACGTTTCTTAACGTGCCGTCCTGTCAAATAAAGGGTAATCTGTGGCAATACGCTTGTTTGTCGGGTATTTGCGACTGTTGTTCGCAGCCTGATGCACGGGACCAGCAGAAGGTCCGCGTTGACAGCACTGGCCATTGAACCGCTATAAAAACCTCGTTTTTTGTTGGTTTTGCAGCCACGGTTGCATGAGCGTCACGAGAAAAGCTAGGCCAAGCAACACCCTTTGGAACAAGCCACAAATATTGGTAACCAGACCTGTTAGACCCTGAAAACTAATCGCGTACAAGTGAATAAAAATGGACATGATTTGCAGTGGAGGAGGCCCTTTTTGTCGGTGGTACATTGCATAGCAAAACGTTTTCTAGGACTAGTTCATTTATGGCTTCTTGTTGTTAAAAATATTTTGTGCCAAACAACACATACACAGACAAGAGACAAGGACAGTGCCAGTTCTGTGCCCTTTGTCTGTCTGCATTCTGCTTTGCACCAAATCATTTTTTCCTTGGAGGTACAAGGCAGCAAGAAAAAGTTTTAGGAAGTGGCGCAGGTGGACCTTCGGGAGGCCATCCGTTTTTTTCTTTACTGGCTACACCCCTGTTTGTCAGTGCATTGCGAATTCCTTCATGGTGCACAATTTTCTTTATTGTAGTGAGCTTGATTTATTAGCACGGTTTCTTATTCGGGTGTTTCCATTGTTATTTTTTATGCCTGTGTTAAAACATTTTGTTTCTGCTTCCTTTAACGAATAACGTATATTTCAGAGCAATTTACAATGCAGTGCTGTTGCCCTTTTCAGCTTGAAGACAATAGCAGAAGGTGTAAAATGAAGTGCTGTTTCCTGACATCCCCTACTATGAAAAGGTGCCTTAATGCTACCGTGCTAGACGGGATGAAGTGTGATGGAGGAATGGTTTGTATACTTTTGCATAGATTTCCTCGAAATATGCAAACATGGTAGTAAGAGGTTGAAAAGAAAACGAGAACCAGTGCTTTCAAAGATAAGTGGTTCTTTATTACAGTTCGATGGAGTTTGTTTGTTTTGCTATAGGAATCGTTCCTCGAAGACTAGATTTTAGCACACGGTTTATTGTATAAACGTGGCCAGCGAGAACTAGGCGGCATGTAGTTGAAATTCTGATACCGTTTCTTGCTGAATTATGGCATTTTTTAAACAATACCATGAATTTTCTAATATAGGTTCGCGTTGAATAAATAGTGCTCCAGCACTGAAATATGAGTCCCTATTTATCCTCGCTCAAAAGATGTATAGCATTACACTTCACTGACCTTTCCTCTTAGATGGCTTGTGCGGATGTACCTATGCTGTACCGGCATGGCAAAGATTCAAAAAACCTACAGCCATTTCCCTGAAAGCTCTCCTCTTTTCTCTGCAGTGATATTCTGATGTAGAATAGTGGGCTCTCTGAAATGAATTATCTGTTCTTGCTACGAATCCAGTCTAGATGTTTCTATCTCGCACCCCTTTTGACCTTTCCAGAAAGTCGGCGAAGCAAAGTTTCATGAATCGCTTATTCTTGATTCACCTGCCATATTTAAAAGCGCACTTCCCACAAGACGCTTATTTTTAAAAATTCAGCAACTCGCTTCTTTCAAAAGCGGTGTTCTATGCGTTTTAAGAGAGCTTGGGAAGGAAAACACCTGACTGCTTTCAATTGGACAAAAACAGACTACAGCAGTTTGCCGCTGCAGCCGCTTTACGATAAGTATAATAGCTTCGAAATGAGCAATAAGAAGGTTACCTGTGAGGTGAACAAGAGCTTACACAATTGTGTTTCTAGTTTATTTTTGTCAGACATGTCTCCAACTAATCGTCTTAACTTTAGACGTGTGTTTCGTGTTATATGCAAAACAACGTATTTGTTTGTTTGCAGACATGCAGAAGGGGGTCTGCGGACAGCATGAATGGCCTTGAAGAAGCACATACCTCTTGGTCATTTCAGTACCGAAATAAAAGATTCCACTACGTTCTCTTTAAATTCTTGGATCAGGTAATATAAGGTGACATTTTCGGGCAACACATTGCGTAAGTGGAATCTCCGTAATCAGGCAAATTGGGGATGATTATCAATTTTTTTTTTCCTTCTACCCCTTTTCAAACCCTCTCATTGAATCATTCTCAATATTCTAAATGAATGCTGTTTTTGATTCTTGAGTACTCCGTCGCAAAGTCTGATGTTGGTGGTATTATAATTTTCATTCATTGGAGATGTTTTCTTTTGAGTCTTAATGTTACAGGGTTTTTTTTCTTAGCTTCAGAGATATTTAACTCAAAGATGCTGCCTCGAGACTTCTGCCCAATCATTGTAGGCGAGCTCCATCAGCAAGAAGAAATCATCAATATAATCGGCCATGCTGGTACGCAAGGTAGACCTAGACATTTGGCTTAGAGTCAGTCAAACTTCCTCTGTTTCCTCTGTTTTTTCCCTCCTCCCGGAAGAGTCGCAGGTGTTGTGCCCCTCCAGGTTGCAGTTGCCAGCTTGCTCGCTCCCTCTTTTCTCTGTGTCTTTGTGTATCTGCGTATGCAACTCAGATAATAATAATAATTCCTCCGATGTCACTGTATGGTTCATCGAAATGTCCGTTACGCTTCCCTGTTTTACCGGCCATTTATGTTTTTCTCAAGACTCTCCGCGGATTCACCTTCTCCGTCTTGCACGATTTATAGAAATAGCGTTTGAAGAGCTTGTTGCACGGAAATTCCGGCACTGCTGTCAGCGTCAGCATTAGCTTCGTTTATTGCGAGCGAAACATTCTAATTTTGCGCTTGACCGAAAATTGAGAAGGATGAAAATAAATTGAATGGCGAAACTTTCCTGGTTCCATAGATAATTCCAAAGCAGGCCCTTCGCGCGGCAAGCAGGCGTCCTAGAACACAATTACGAGTGCGCTTGTAAATGTAGTTGAAAATTCGAATTTCTTGTGCTTGGAAGTGCAGTGAAAGTACGTAAATGCATGAACACGCGTGACTATATGCAGGACTGAGAACACAGCGTGTTTATTACAGCAATATTGCGTGGTACAAGCCTAAATTGCCCTGCGGCGTCGGAACATGTAATTATCACAACGCCGACATCGTAGTTTAGAGCCGACCACCAATTAAAAAAGGCAGGCACGTTACTGCGCTACTTCCTTAAGGCCACGTAGTGGGTGCATAGAAAGTTCGAAACAATTCACGAGCACGAATTGCTCATGAGTTGAAGCATCCTTACCAATTACCCAGAATGCAGCCATATGCGAAAGCTTCAGCGACACAAAGCCACAGACACCAGGTACTATGTAGATTACATTGCAGTAATTCACAATTTAAACTTCGAGTATATCATACTATAAAAAATTGATCTAATTGTGATCTTGAAGTTCAGGCCAATCTATAGGGCACAAGAACATTAATCTGAAGTTCCCCGTAAATACAAGGAAGACCACAACCTGGACTGCTGTTATTTGCACGATGCATTGGCACTACTGCTGGAAACAGATGCGTTGTAATGTAAGAAGCCTGTAGCTGCCCATCACCCCATGCGTTAAATGCAGTGAATTTACGGGACTCTTTCTAATGCGTCTTACCGTTATGATTGGTAACAGCGCACAACATCCTGGTTGAATGAAGAAAAGTAACACAAACAAGCACGACTCTCAACTGATGATTTGTTGATATATACAAATTATCCGAACGCCATAAATAAACATACAGAACATGCATAAAGGGCCAGCAAGGGACCATGTAGACATCATCAATTTTACGCTGTGGGTAACTGCCAGGCGCGACAAAAATAACTTCCAACAAACATCCTATGATTAGGATTTCTTCTGTTTTTGTAAAAATATCTGTATTTGACTAACGAAGAACTTCACCTCTTTTTTGATGTAGAATGCTTTCCCAAGTTCTCTTGTCGCCTGATCACTAGTTTGATGAGCACTGTCGTTTCATTAAACAACGGCGTGCACCCACACATGTGGCAGTGTGAAGGCAGATTCCCGTACGTGCAGGAATTAAAGGTTCCGGAGCTGTCTTTTAGCCGTACATAGAGACAACGCCTTGTTTGCCCAATAGCACTTTTTTGCATGTTTAAGGAAATTTTGTACACTACCCTAGTATACAGAGTCCTTGAAGCATCCTGTGTTCTACCACCGCATTTAGTTTGGCTGGAGCTCTTTCTATCACGCTTTTCGTCACCATAGGTCACAATTTTTCCTAATTTGTTTCTTCCTAAGAATAGTACCTGTACATAGTATCGTGATGCCACATTTTTTAGTCCATGGGCTAACCTATGCTTGTAGGGCATGGTGGCACATTTTTTTTTACTTCTCCTGTTTGTGAACTTTCTTGTTCTTTCTTGATCTGACTTATCAAGACCTTCTCAAACAGAAGGGCTAACATGGCGTCGAAAGCTGGCTACCTGAAGGCGATACACCTGTTCATAGAAGCTTTGTTCCGCCTGGTGCCTGCACGACCCTTGAATAGCTGCCCCGAGGCTAGACCTAGTGATTCCCTTCTTCACTATTTTTTGAATGACCCGACTTGTACTTAAGCTACGATTTTACGGGTCTTTAGCTTATGCACACACAGTGTGGTGGTTAGAAAAAGTTATTTTTATGTCTATCAGCTGTAAGGCGTGCTGTGAAGGCATTTCGCTGGTGAAGTTTAGCCCCATTTCAGTTTTGCGAAAGATCTGCAGGCCTTTATAACATTCATGCGCTCCTCATTTCGGGCACCACTATCCACGTAACGGGCAACACGAACCACCTTTCCCTCCAACTTCTTTTCTAGACTGGAATCGTCTATCCCCAGAAAGTGTTGCTGAGAAATGGTTGCCACCGTAGATCAATAGAAAGCTTCGCTTCTTAACCATCGTTTTTCACCTCCTAAGAATCAAGGTTGATGCAAATAGCACATCAATCACTCCAGAACACAATTGCACCTTCAAACCCGAAATGTTTTGGAAGTTTTGCTCAATCGTTTTCCTCCAGAATGCGTTATTTAACACAATTCATTGCCTGCCGCTGTGGGAAGGGGCGTTAATTATAAATTCTTCTACGTCTACACTTGAGTAGAAGAATCCCGGTCAAACTTCGCGTGCATCCGTCAAACTTCGCACAACGTAATTCTTCAGCTATCACCAGCGATTCCTTTACTATCAATAGCATCCTGCATTTTCAGTTTTTTCGAGTTGCTTCTGCAAGAATGCTGAACAATCACTTGCCATGCGCCTCTTTCGAAAACAATAGTGGCAAAGGCTGCTTCTGTTAATCCTCAGAGCGTTCCCTCGGAATCCTATCCGCAAAAAGCATCAAAACACTAGCGGCAGCGACCAGTAAACATGCTAAGCCGTGGCGCGAAGCCACGGTAAACAATCTAAAGGGGAAGTTTTATAGGGTGCATTTCCGGTAAATGCATCTTATGGTCTTTATCGAAAAAAAGGAATCCAGTTGTAACACCTGAGTCTTTGCTACACTTCTAGACAGACTTTCTAGGTTCATTTCCTGGAAGAGGTTCTTTGCGCTTTCTTTAACATTTTTCGGCTCACCTCTCCCTACCTGGAAGTTTTTAATCAGAGCCACAGATGCTTTCTGAGAGAACTATCCCCCAGTCAACAGTAAAAAAAACACTTCCTTATCCGCGGTCAATAACTTCAAATTTTTCCTTTCAAGGATTTGGCAAGAGTTAGTAACCGTACGCTTTGTCTCTTTTTGACTACGCATAATGACATCTGCACATTCAGACACACACCTTGTCCTCTCAATCTCCGTAACATGCTTAGAAACAGTCCTCGCTAAAGCTACTTTTTCAATGGCACTGAACCTCGGCTCCACGCAGAACTTTGGTTCAAGCTTAAGTGTCTCCCTGTGCTCTTCCGGTATCGCTGTACCGGCTAGGTTCAAGACCTTGACCACAGGATTTGTCTTCCCGTTGCATTTCGGTGCTCATGATCTGGCTGTCATCCAAGGAAACTCAATCACTGAATCCCCATATCTTGTTTCCCCCTCCTTTTCTCCACACTGTCGCACGCACGTTGTCCTAAGGCAGTTCTTAAGCAGTCTTCTCGGGCTCCAGAATGCAGACCTCTAACTTCAGCACATCCGCGTTGTGTGTCCTACCGAGGTCTTATGCCCCCGCACATGACCATAGTTTCTGTGGGCATGTTCCTAGGCGCAAGTGCCATGATGGCATTCTTGTGCGACATTCGCAAGTAGCCATTTTTGCCGCCAAGAAGGCTGGGTCTTGAAAAAAAAAATTGGCAGCATATCCACGGGGTGAATAATAGAGTGGGGCGAAGCATGCGTCCGTCCGTTCGATCTTGGTTCCGTCCATCTATGCGTCCGTCTGTGTGACCCCGTGCGTTCATTCAGCCGTCCGTGCGTGCATCTGTTCGTGCGTCCGCACGTCCATCTGTGCGTACGTCCCTGCGTTCGTCCATGCATCCGCCTCTGCGTCCGTCCATGCGTCCATCTGTCTGTGCAGCCATCCATGGGTCCGTTCATGCATCTGTGTGTCCGTTCGTCCATCTAGTCAACACCTAGTACCACCATCTCGCATCTTTTCATCATATATTCCGCATATAGAAGCACCGCCAACGAGCAGACATTCCAAGAACTAAACGAGAGGTGGCACATGCACACTTTCTTAAGATTTGCGCTTCGTGTCTACTTCCCACCTTTAACCACCTCGAGTTCATCGTATATAATAGTTCACTGTATTCATGGCACTGCGCTCGCTAAACATTTGTAAAACTAAGGAGGTTACGCCCAGCGTATAACGTAGCAACCCTTTCTTGTCAAATATTGCTCAATGTACGTGCCAACGGCTGCTAATTGGGAATTAGAGACAGGAGATTCGGCTTTTATTTAACGCGCACGCTGCGAGTTTTTCGTCGTTCAACAATGCA